TTTGTGACAAACCATTCATCAGTATTGAAATGTCTCCGCAATAATCAAAAACTGTGACATCAATTGCTTTCAATTGTTTGCCATATATTCTCACAAATGTTAGAAAACTATCGGTTTCTTCGTAATGGAAATTAAAGCAAACTTTTTGTAATTTCTTAAACAATATCTCATTTTGATTACCACTTAATACAGACAATGAATATTTAGACAAAAAAATATTAAATTTTGTTAAATTAGTGCAAAACATAATATTAAGAGTGGTATCAATGGAAACATCCGAAAGAGTGTAAATTGCAATAGATTTCAATTGTTTACCAAATTTTGTTAACAATTTGTTAAATAGTATTACATTTTTGTCCCAAATGTTGTCAAAATCGGTAATTGTATGCAATTTATGGCAGTCTTTGATAATTGTCTCCAAACAGGCTTTCGATGAAATCTTTTCAATAGTTGTGATGTTTTGACACTTTTTTAATATTAATTGCAGTGAATAGTTATCCATTTCTTCCGATATCTCTCTCGTGATCTCGTATTGAGTCTCATATATAACTCTCTGCCACTGTTTGGACACCTCTTCGTATCGGAACCGCTCATAGAATGACAGATAAGACAATAATAGTTGACACAAATCATCACCGAATCTGTCCATTGATTGTCTCAAATATTTGCCACTTTTGATTGACAGCGCATTCATACCAACGCTAACATCATTTGTCGACAACTGATTCCTAAAGTGATGACAATATGAATTAGTAATGCATTCAATAGTAAATCAGTTAACTTCAAATCAGTGTACAATTGTAATTCAAACAATACTTACATTTCACACAATTTATGCCTATATTTAAGACTAAAACTCAAATGCAATGCAAAATTCAATTAATAATTAGTACACAAATTATATTAAACATAATTTTCAATAATCAAGTGATTAAAACATTAACAATAAATCAATGCTTGAAATGACTGTTTTGTTTGAACAAAGGATATGAGGAAAACACGTTTAAAACACGTGATTATATAAATGAGTGAATAGTTTTCAATACAAATGTCGCCCTCTTTTTGGTCACTATTTTTAACACTAATTGTAATCCAAAAAACTTTTCCAAAACTTTTGTTGCATTGAATTGAATGCAAAACATGTGATAAAAGATGTGTCGATAGACTCGACCACCGGTTGTGCGAACACAACAAACGGTCAGTCTTTCAGCAAACATTCGACGGCCGGACACCACATAATGAACGGTTATTTGCGATGTCAGGCGCCGGCGGTTACAGAACAACACGTGTTGACCGCAAAGTGCAGTTCATTCAGTGGCCAGAGTATTGTGGCTCTGGTGGCCAACGACATGGCCTGACACGTGTCCACATAGCATATGATGGACTGTTCAAAGTAGTGGCGTTGCAATCGGGGCGTGAAATAGGAGGCAATGGCTGCGCCCTCTGTGGCGGCCGCGAAGTGAAGCCACGCCTGCTCTGTCTGGTAGTCCTTTTTGGCCGAGTAGTAGGACTGATAGGCGAGTTCATAGGCCGTCAAACACATGGCCAGATCACCCAGTTTTCTGAGTTGCATCTCATGTGTGAACACATGTATACGACTGACGGGTGGTTCGAGTATACCAGCACTCAATGACCACGACTTGGAGTTTGCATTTTGATAGACATTTATATTCTGGACATGTTTTCGACATTAATTATTAAAATATTTAAATAAACACTAATTATATAATGAATTTTAGTTTAAATTTTATATTAGTAGAAGCATTTAGGATTTTTAATTTAATTACAAATCCTGTTTTGACAATAATTTATAATCTTTTTTTTAATATTATGTTTAATGAAGGAATAGATAAACACTAAAAATAAACTTTTTAATGCACTATTTTATTCAAATATTTTTATAAAAATACATTTATAATTAAAAAGTTTAAAATTTAATTAATTAAAGTAAAGTGAAATTCATTATACACGTTTATACATTATACAAGATTCAGTCAATTTGCAGGCGATTTTCAATTGGAATTTTAAAATTTAATTTTCAATAATATGACTTCTGTTCCAGATTAGTAGCCATACATTTTTAGATTTAAAAAATTACCATATTCATAGATTGTAAGCAATAATAAAAAACAAAATTTTAATGAAAATTATTTATTAAAAAATTGATTGTAAATTAATAAAATGAAATATTTATGTGAATACAATAAAAGTCAAACATAAACCGAGAGTTCAGTCGACATTAGGGGACTATCGGCGCCCATCGGCCCCGCATTTCATAGACTACCCGTACGTCGGGGCCAATGATGAGTGTCTGGAACCGCACTCATAGGTCAACCCAAAAGCGAGTTATATGTTGACCAATATATGGGAAGACGTAACAATTGAGCTAATTATATTTGTTATAAAGTATATTTTACAACATGTTAACATTTAGTGACATTTAAAAGTATTATAGTTTATCAAAAACTATAGTAATTATCACATATTGTATGAAATTCTTTGTTTTATTTCCATTAGTTTTTACTGATTATAACATTTGCTATCAAAACGTTGTATTGAAGTGTTTATTAACACTACGAATATAATAGAGATTTTTCATTAAAACAAAGAAAATATTATTAATTTAATGCGTTTTCAAAAATTATATATCAATAATTCAGTTTATTAAATATGGTTTTTATGTATTAATAGTTATTATTGTTTTTGTATTTGTAATTGTTATAGAAATGTGTGAATTATTAGAAAAAATTACCGTTTGTAATAAAATTCCCGCAAATATTAAAGAAAATATCACAAAATTACATGTTTTTATTGATTATGATAAAAAATATAATGTATTATATATTACAAACAATGATATGGTTTATGGTTTCGGTAATAATAGTTATGGATGTCTAGGTTTTGGACACAACAAACCTATACTATCACCACAACTGATACCAGAATTATGTCATCAAAACATACAATACTTTGTCAATGGATATTGTTTTGTGTTAGCAGTGAATGATAAGAGAATTATATATGGATTTGGATATAATCACTATGGACAATTAGGTCGTGGTAAAACATTTTTTTGGTATAATTATTGCAAACCAGAGATAATATCATATTTTAATGATAAAAACATTGTACAAATAAGTTGTGGTTCATGTCACACATTAGCGCTTACAAGTGATGGCCGCGTATATGCCTGGGGTGACAATTTTGGGTATATTAATTCGGGAATTATACGAAGTTATTTTGATATTATATATTTTAGTAAACCGATTGAAATAAAATTCACTAATAATTATAAAATACAATCCATTTATTGTTATAATGACTCTTCATTTGCCATCACATCCGATGAACATGTGTTTAGTTTGAGTAATAATTATAACCGTCAATTGAAACACAATTTAACCGATGAGGAAGAATTGAAACCACACTTGATATCAAACATTAATAATGTGAAAACAATCAGTTGCACACAATTTGCAACATATTTTATGACTACAAATGGTTTATATTTTTGCGGCAAATATAATAAAATATTTGAAAAAACACCAAAACAAATACTATCCAAACATTACATCCGAGATGTTCAACAAATTGATTCATGGATTAATAATAACAATGAATTCATTTGTGTTTTAATAAATGATAAAATATTTAAAATATTAAATGAACACAAACTAATTGAAACAAATTATAATAATTATATCGACTTTTACGCTAATGAATTAGGAATAACTTATAACACAATCGATTTGAAAGAAAATGTAAATAATGATAAATCAAGTGATGGTAACTATAAAATCCAATTCATTGAGATGTCAGCCATAGGTTCGGGTGGTTTTGGGACTGTATTTGTTTTGGTGTTTTTTCAAATATTTTATTATATTTGCCGCAAAAATATAAACCATTTGTAGTCATAAAATATGTTGAAAAGTAAAGCATAGATTGGATGATAAGATATATGCCGTTAAAAGAGTACAATTCAAGGGTAACTTTAATAACTATTTATTTCATTCATTCATTTCGTATATTAAATATATTAACAGATTTTAGTGAAGAAAAGAAACAAAAAATTCTGAGAGAAGTGAAAAGTTTGGCAAAACTGGACTCAGAATATGTGGTAAAGTATTACAACTCATGGCTTGAGTCCAATCATCTCTATATTCAGATGCAATTCTGTCCGCAAAGTCTTCGAGATTTGATTAACAACAAAGTGATTGTTTTTGAGAGACAACCGAAAGACCACATGAATAGTGTGTTTGAATATTACATTTCATGTGAAATATTCAAAGAGATCGTAAGGAGTGTTCAATATCTCCACGAATGCAAACCTCCTGTCATTCATAGGGATCTCAAACCCGAGAATATATTAATTTCAGGCAATATTACGTCTAATCGTAACGTAAAACTGTGTGACTTTGGTTTGGCCACTGTTCACAACATCGATGGTAACACTTCCAGCCGATACGACCACTCAGTTTGTGGTACTTTGAGATATATCGCACCCGAAGTATATAGTCGTAAATATAACCATTTGGCAGATATGTATAGCCTCTATGTAATCGGTGAACAGTTATTTAGCATTGATTTTCAAACGTGAGTTTAATTTAAGAAATTTAATAATTCATAATTAATTATATTTATATGAATTTAAAGCTCAAAAGCATTTGAAGCCAAGGAATCGGTATTTAGTACATCCATGCAATGTATGTATGGGACACTTCTGGCAATGATGTCAACACCTAATTGGAGACAAAGGCCTGAATGTCGGGAAGTGTTGGCCAAACATAACGAGTGGTCCATTAATAAGAGTGTTGTCACTAATCATAAGGAATTCAATTCAGTTTTAGATAAATTGAAATCTAATAATAATATATTTTTCTATGACTTTTTAATGTGTAAATTAAGTAATAGCAGAGTGTCCACTAATTTCTACCCTCCTATACATTGCCCGCTCATTGAGAGCAATAATATTCCCAATTATTCCCATTTATTTGTAATTATATTTTGTATTATAATTGCATTTGTAATTAACTGGTTTATATTGAGACTTTACTTATTGTGACACAACTTTACTATGATCGTGTTTAAAAGAATTGATATTTAATAAATTAAAACTTTACTTATTTCGTAAAAATTAATTGTTTAAAATAATAAAAGCAAATCCAGTTTTAATGAACACAGAACTGTATTTAATGGTGATTTACTGTTGATTAGATCAAATACGGCATCTACCAATGCAGTACTGGTGATTACCCGAAGCACTGTGTGAAACATTATTTTTAACCACAATTCAGTATGACTAATGTGGTTTATAGGATCGTTCGGCTCCCCCCTCCGCCCCCACCCTATGGGATTTAACATGAAATTACAGCTTAAGTCTATGACATAGGATTAACATGGGAAAGCTCTTATAGGATTAACATGGAGACGCTATAACATGGGTTTCTATGGGTTTACAGCTTTTGGCATAGGGATAACATTGGTAATGCTAAGTCTATGGCAATGATAATCCTATGGACAGTGCTAAGTCTATGGCATAGGAATAACATGGGTAATGTTAAGTCTACACGAATAATGCTAAGTCTATAGACTGTGCTAAGTCTATGGGAAATGTTAATTCTATGGACTGTTATTAAATGTGTATATAATGTTAATCTATTCTTTAAGCAATACCCGAATTGTGATTAACGTATAGCAGCGCTGTGTTATCCTTGTTTATTTGATCTAATCTAACAGTAAATCACCATTAAATACAGTTCTGGCAAACCAAAGAGTTCTGGTTTCTTTGTTAGTAAATATGGCGACTTAGAACCGCACTCGGAAGTGAACTCAAATTTGTACAATGTATGAGTATACATTCTATTGGACAAATTATGTTATAAATTATACTTTACAATTGTTTAACGTTTATAAGTATTATAAAGTTTTTAAAATTATTAACTTTAGTTTATCAAAACGCTATAGTTATTATCACATATTATATGAAATTCTTTGTTTTATTCCCATTAGTTTTCATTATAACAATTGCTATCAAAAGATTGTATTGAAGTGTTTATTAATACAACGAATATAACAGATTTTTCATTAAAACAAAGAAAATATTATTTATTTAATATACAATATTTTCTTAAATTATTTATTAATAATCTAAGGTTTTTAATAAATTCTATGTATTTATAGTTATTATTGTTTTTATAAAATTCGTGATTGTTATAGAAATGTGTGAATTATTAGAAAAACTTACAATTTGTGATAAAATTCCCACAAATATTAAAGAAAAGATCACAACATTACATGTTTTTATTGATTATGCTCAAAAATATAATGTATTATTTGTTACAAACAATGATATTGTTTATGGTTTCGGTAATAATAGCAGTGGATGTCTGGGGTTTGGACACAACAAACCTATACTATCACCAGAAATAATACCACAATTATGTGATCAAAACATACAATACTTTGTCAATGGAGAAAATTTTGTGTTAGCAGTGAATAAGAGGAGTATTATATATGGGTTTGGATATAATAACCGTGGACAATTGGGTCGGGGTAAGACAAATTATTGGTTTTCTTGTTTGAAACCAGAGATAATATCATATTTCAATGATAAAATCATTGAACAAATCAGTTGTGGTTCATATCATACGTTGGCCCTCACAAGTAATGGTCGCGTATTTGGTTGGGGTTGGAATGATTATGGTCAAATTGGTTATGGTGTAGAATACCTAATTGCTCTTAATCAAATTGTTAGTAAACCATTTGAGATACAATTCACTAATAATTATAAAATAAAATCCATTTATTGTTATAATTACTCTTCATTTGCCATCACATGTGATGGACATGTGTTCAGTTGGGGTAATAATGAGGACAATATATTGGGACACAATATAACCGATACTAATGTATTGAAACCCCGATTGATATCAAACATTAATAATGTAAATACAATCAGTTGCACACAATTTACAACATATTTTATGACTACAAATGGCTTATATTTTTGTGGAAATTTTCCAAATAAAATGATTGACAAAACACCGAAACAAATACTATCTGAACATCTCATCCAAAATATACAACAAATTAATTCATGGATTAATAATAATGAATTAATTTGTGTTTTGATAAACGATACAATATTTAAAATAACAAATGAACGCAAATTAATTAAAACAAATTACAAAAATTATATCGACTTTTACGCCAAAGAATGCCAAATAACTTATAAAACAATAAATTTGAAAGAATACGCAAATATTCTAACAAAAAATCAAAGCGAAAATAATTATAAATCAAGTGATGGTAACTATAGAACTCACTTCATTGAGATGTCAGCCATAGGTTCGGGTAGTTTTGGGACTGTATTTAAAGTAAAACATAGATTGGATGATAAGATATATGCAGTTAAAAGAGTATTATTTGGAGGTAAATGTTATAACTATTTTATTTCATTCGTTCTATTCACATATTTCTAACATTAAATAAATGCACAGATTTTAGTGAAGAAAAGAAACAAAAAATTTTGAAAGAAGTGCAAAGTCTGGCGAAACTGGACTCAGAATATGTGGTAAAGTATTATCACTCATGGCTTGAGTCCAATCATCTCTTCATTCAAATGGAGTTCTGTTCACAAAGTCTTAAATCTATTCTTAAAGACAAACCCATTGTCTTTGAGAGACAACCGGAAGACCAGATCAATGATGTGTTCGAGTATTTCATTTCCTGTGAAATATTCAAAGAACTGTTAGAATGCGTTCAATATCTTCACTCATCTGATCCGCCAGTCATTCATAGGGATCTCAAACCCGAGAATATATTAATTAATGTGAATATTAAATACAATCGTTGTGTAAAACTGTGTGACTTTGGTTTGGCCACCGATCACAACATCGATGGACACACTGACAGCCGATACACGCACTCAGTTTGCGGTACATTTGGATATATGGCACCCGAAGTACTGACGGGTAAACGATATAATCATAAATCAGACATTTTTAGTCTTCACGCAATCGGCGAACATTTATTTAGCTTTGATTTTCAGGCGTAAGTGTTTTGTTAATAATTCAATATTTATTATTATATTTTTTAATATTTTATTTATATGTTGTATGAATTTTAAGTTTTCTAGAATTTGAAGCAAATGAATCCGTATTTAAGACTTCCATAGTCTGTATGTATGAAACACTGCAACAAATGATGGCAATTGTGTGGAGACAACGGCCTGAGTGTCGGCAAGTGTTGGCCAAATATAGCGAGTGGTCTATCGATAAGTCGGTTGTTATTAATGACAAGGAATTCAATTCAGTTTTAAATAAACTTAAATCTAATGATAATTCAGTTTTCTATGAAATTTTGTTTTCCAAAACACAATAATTTTTGTAATTATTTTCATTTTAACTATATTTTTCATTTCTTTTTCTTACATTTATATTTTATTGTTTTATTTGTAATAAATTTTTAAATATAGAATAAAGTAATTGATAATAAAAATATAAAAGTATGTAAAATTTGAACGCTGTGATATAAAACTAGTTTTAATCTAATAGCTATAATATTCTACTTCTATATGAAGTACCTTAAACATTACAGCGTAAATATGCGTTGACTACTTTATGAAATTCCTATTCAAAAGGTATTTGTTTAAATTTTATGAAAAATGATTTCTGATGCCTACAACTGTTAATTTAAATTATCAAATTGGTTTCATAATTCTATTATTTATATGGAATTAATTAATTAATCCAATAAAAGTATATAATGAAATTCCTATGTGTTAATCAGTGTTTCCATTGGTTTTTACTGATTATTATAGTTTTTATCATAAGGTGAAAAAAATCTTATTAACACAATTAATATAACACATATTTTCTAAATAAAATAATATTTTATTAAAAACAATTTATTAATTAATACTATGTTTTGTGTTTAATATGGTGTAATTATACTAAAATTATTGTATATAAATTGTATATAATTTTATGTAAGATGTGTGAATTATTAAAAAAGTTTTCAATTTGTGATAAGATTTCTTTAAATATTAAAGAGAAAATTATAAAATTACACGTTTTTATGGATTGGAATAATGAATGTAATGTATTATTAATAACAACCGATGATATAGTCTATGGTATCGGTAGTGTGACCAACCGTACACTTTTGAAGTGTACAGTACACTATTTGAGACTTCTGTACACTATTTTCAGACTGTACACTATTGTACACTTTTGGAAAATATTTCTATTAAAAACTAAAATAATAAA